TAGAGAGCCGCAGGTAATTTATGTCCCTTTCTCTATTTCGATAACCTTTTTTTATTCACTTTTCATTCTCTCATTCTCACTATCTCTTTCTCATTCTTTCGTTTTCTTATTTTCTTTCATTCTCATTCTTTCTTTTTTCTTTTCCTACCTATTTCTATCTTTGTCTCTTCATTCCATATGGGACAGTGTATTGCGGTAAAGGGATGTGAGTATCGTTTTCTTACTAGAAGAAGCCTTAGTAACACATGAGAATATTTTTTATCTTTTTTTTTTTTTCTCAAACATTTAGCCACACAATGTGGGCCACCATCGAATGCATCTCTCTCTTTCTTTCTTCATAAATGAAAACAAAATTAAGGTGTTTATTCTCAAATTGTCATATTAATATAATTTGTTAAAAAAAATTTTTACTTATATTTTTAATTTTTATTTCTTTGTAATTCGATTGAAATAAAATATTGCGAAAAAGGGAAGAAAATATGGAACCAAATATAAAAATAAAAAATGCAAATTAGTGAAATAATTTTAGTGGGAATGCGTGTGCATCACAATTTGGTTTTTTTTTTTTTAATTGCAACACTGGGTAGATGACTATTAAAAAATTTCGCGAAGAGCTTCTATTTACTGATAACCATATACATATATATATTAATTTATATATTATATAAAAATAATATAATTGAATAAAATTTAATAACAATTTTAATTGAATAAAAACATTAAAAACTCACGTTGTTTCACCCTTTTATTTTTTTTAGGGGGAAGGAAGAAAGGAAAGTGTATGAGACGCACTCGAAGGTGTGCAAATGTACAACTGAATTAGACAACCAAAAAAAGAAAACGCGATGTATATTTTTAATTACTTACTTCGCTTGCTTTTCTTTTTCTTTTTTTTTTTTCTTTATTATTATTATTATTATTATTCGTTATCGTCTAACGACATTATCGTAAGTTTATCTATTAGGCCTTAACAACGTATTATTATTATTATTATTACCTTTTTATTTCACTTATACGCTAATCTTCGCTTCCGATGTTCGCGCTAATCGCGAAATCGATGAGTTGCATTTTATTATTATTATTATTATTTTTTTTTTGTCCTTTTCTATTCTTTTCTTTTCATTTTATTGAATAATTTTTACTGTGCTACACCGATCGAAAGGAAAGATTTCACATTCTTTCTTGAATCGAATGATACGAACGACATTTAAATGGTACGAAGATATGATATGATATGAAAATGCGATAAAGGATGTTGTTGGTCACTCGGTTCTTTGTTTTTTGTTTTTTTTTTTTTCTTCGAAATTGCACATCGTCATATTTGAAAAAACGAAGAATCAAATATAACACAGGTAGTGTTGGGTTATCCGGGAAATTTGTGCACGATTTTGATGAAAAATTGAAACACAAAGCATTAAAGAGTTTGTTTTTATTTTGAAATATTTAATGTAATATCTATTAAATTATATATAAGTGCCATTTTATTCTACAATCTTTATTGATAATTTAAACAAATTTTGTCCTTTCAAAACTTCTCAGATTTTTCATAAAACAAAAAACTTTATGCCACCTATTCAAAAATCTGCACGAATTTTCCATACAACCCAATAACTGTAATTATATTTGTGATATTGATCAAGAAAAAAAAAATATATAAAATAAAATAAATCAGAGATTTCGCGTGCAGGACGACGAAGAAAAGAAAGAAAAGAACCGAGGACGTCAACGGCAAAAGCTCGTTGGTTGATTGGTTGGTTGATTTGTTGGTTGGTCGGTCTTCGTACGTTCGCTTACCCTGCCCTACGTTTACGCAAAATTACCTGTACAAATAATTGTTTTGCTTGTTACGAATTCGTTGCGTTCTATATGACAAATACGAAGTTTACAGAATACATGTATAAATGTATACACACTTGCATATATGTATATATATATATTATAAATTTTGCATAGTTTCTTTTGACGCATATAAGATATATTATACCTGATATGTAGGTTGGTATAGATGTTTTTAAAGCGTTTTTATTTTTTATCTCTCTCTCTCTCTCTCTCTCTCTCTCTCTCTCTCTGTCGATAAAAATGCTTTTCGAAAACTCGCACGAGTCCCCTTTCAGAATTTCTTCTTATCGAAGTTATTAAATTTCTTTTTCAAAAAAATAAAGCAATATTAATAAAACAAATAATGACCTTATTATCTAGTTTTAACCTAAGAAAGTGAATACATATTTGGTGTATGTGTATTTACACAAAGAAAGAGAAAAAAAAAAAAAAAAAAGAGAGAGAGGGTCAGTTTAGTATAAGGTTAGAAAGTTTCCCGAATGGATGAAAATTTCCGGGATATCGAGTTACGAAAAGAAGTTACAGAAGAGCATCCAGGTTTTATTTTTCTTTTTTATTTTTTTTTTTTTTTTTGAAAAGAAACGAGAAGAGTTCGAGTTTTTAGTTGGGTTATAGCTGTGAGAGCGTATTTACTATATTATACCACTTATATAGCATTTTCTTATCAAAAAACGGAAGCTGGAAGCTCGTTTCTTATCCGAGTAACTTGGAACGAAGAATGATCGGGGACTAAATTTGAAATCGAACGAAAAATATATCTTTGAAGTTTCTTTTACCGAGAAAATCAAACGATCGTGAGATTAACCTTGAAAGAAGCTGACTGACACGTTTTGAACACAATCATCGGTCAAACGATTTTACGTATTTTTTTTCTTTTTTTTTTTTGGGGGGGGGGCAAAAAATCGTTCGGATCCGAGACTTTGATATGCCTAGATTCGTTATCATACCAAATACGGCCTTGAAAATTGCTAAACATTATAATTAATTGTAATAGGCTTGGTAAGTCGAACGTGACCGAGGGGCCGTTCGATTATTTTAATTACACGTC